GATTTGGACAAAGGCCTTCCTGGCTGCGGCTGTCACCTGCTTTTTTGAGCAGAGCTGCGAGTCCAAGAGGACTCCCAAGTTATGCACCAGGTCTGGCTGGGGTAGTGCAACTGCATCCAAGACAAAGGTAATAAACTCCTAGGTACAAAGGGCCCACCCACAGCCACTCAGTCTTCCTGGGGTTCAATTGACATCTGTTCCTTATCCAGACCCCTACAGCTTCCTGGCATCACGAAAGGACATCCACTGCAACACTCACTTCACCTGGGACGGAGGTATATAACTGGGTATCACCAGTATATTGGTGATACATGCCATGATCTCACCCAAAATTATGACCTAAACGTGACTAAAATTGAGCCCAAAACTTAACTGGCTGTAAATCATGCCAGTTGTTAAGCAGGTCATTACATGACTTTCCTATTTTATAGCCTTTTTTGCAGCTGTCGTCAAGTAATTTCCATGGCCATTAAGCAAACACAGTGGTCATTAATTGAATGTTGCAGTTGTTAAGCAAATCCATTGTCTACAATGGGCATTTTTTGCTGGAAACCAGAAAAAATACTGGTATGGGGCAAAAAAATAAATAAATAGTAAATTGCAGTTATATGACTGTGAGATGCTACAGACCACTCTAAATGCCGACTGATTGCAGAGCAGCCAAAGTGGGATCACAGCCATCAGAACTTTGAATCCAGATCATAAATAGTCCTAGGAAGGACCATTTTAACTCTGAACTCTAAATGACTAGTTGTAAGTCGAGGACAACCATTATTGTTGCTGTTGTTATGCATTCCTATTCAGTACACATTGAGTTGCCTCAAATAATTTTGCCCTCATTTTAATATTTAGTACAAAACTACTTTTGGTATTCTAATCTTTTAATTCGTTGGACTCTGACCAAAGCTATAAATAAAAATGAAGAAACACTCTATTGCTTTTCAACACCATCCTTACAATTTGCCTGACAGAGAAGAGCTTTAACTGGAATTGGAGAACAGGAGTGCCATACTAATCTGCAGCATTCAGGTTGTAATGTGGTAACTGATCCAAAAGACAACTTAACCTTTAAGCGATCATTGTAATGTCTCAAATTGGTTAGTTGTTTGACAGACATGTAAATGATTGTGAGCTGGTACATGGTTGGAAAGGAACACAAAAGAGAGCAGAGGGGAATTCCAACCCCAGCTGTTGAAAGATAATCTTCAGTCACTAAATGTTCCTACTGTGAGCCCATCGCAATAGCCTCTGGGAAAGGAAATAAGGCAGAGAAGCAGCTTTACACTGAGTTGGGTGGACTTAGCTCAGTATTGTCTATACTTCTGACTGTCGGCTGTTTTTTAAGATTTCAGAACAGACTTCCTCCTAGTCCTCGCTATAGTGCTATAGTTAAGTTAAAAATTGATTAAACTTTTTGATTCTTTATTCCCATTGTATAGTTAACCCTTAAAATGCTGTAAAACACACATCCTTTAACACAGCCCAGGATATAGCATAGCCCAAATCAAATATGTTATATTATTATTATTATTATTATTATTATTATTATTATTATTATTATTATTATTATTATTATTATTATTATTATTATTATTATTATTATTACTACTACTACTACTACTACTACTACTATTATTATTATTATTATTATTATTATTATTATTATTACATGACAGAAGAGAAGTAAACATGTAATTACAAAATTTCTACAGGGGTACAGCAGTGGCCTCATAACTGGAGGTCCAGTTCAGCTATCCTGGTGATTGCCTTTGGTGTTGCTTCGTGCAGATCTTCTAGGGAACCAGAGAATGCACATCATAGGCAGTCTTGCACAATATGTTTAAGACTTTGCACATCAGCTCCACAATCGCAACAAAAGGAATCTTTCCATCCCCACTGATACATGGCAGAGGCACTTCTTCCATATCACACCTAATTCTGTTCAGTTTTGTCCATATAGAACAAGGCAGGTGGTTTGGTAGAGAGATCACTATTGGTCAGGCCACAAGAAGGTAGCTTGGAGCAATCCTCTCTCCAAGAGTTCTCAGAGCTGAACTGGGTAGATGTTAAGTAAATAGCAGTTTTCTATGCTGGCTTACGGGATTTCAATCTTGTGATGGCCTGTGCATTGTCCTGGTGAATAGGGAGGGCCTTGCTGTTCAGCTTCCTTGACCATAGCCAAACAAGAGTTTGTTGTCTTCAATGAGGAGTAGTATGATATTGCTGAGTACTAGTAAACAATGCACAGGAGTGGGATGCAGCATGCCAGAGATGATATGCATGGTCTGGCAGAGTTGGGCATCGACCATTTGAGTGTGAGCGCTGTTAATCCACATATTGGTGCAATATCCAGCTATGGAATAAACCAGGCTGTTGTTTGTAGGGTGTTAGCACCTCAGAAAGTTCCATCCAGTCTGTTCAATAAATTGTTGCAGTTTTCAATTTTGCAGTTGATTTTTCAGGTGTTGGAAAGTTAGAGATTTGTCCAGTGTTACCCCCAGATACTTTGGAGAATTATTACATTGTAAAATCTGGTTCCAGAATTTCACCAAAGGAGGGTAATTTGCATACTTATTGCTGAGGTGGAATGTGGCTTCTTCTGTTTCTGTTAGACTAAATTGGAGGCATCATTTTTTGAAGTAGTCATCCAACTTCTGGAGATCTTGAGAAAGGATGTCCTCTGCATCACTGAAGTTGATTCTTTGGGCTGTGAGATTGATATTATTGACACAGATAAATTTCCAAGAAACAGTTTCAAGCAGGTTATGAATGTACAAATTAAAAAGAGCAGGGGTTAGCACTGATCCTTGTGGAGTCCCTTATTCAACTTAGGATATCTGCTTCTATTGAATTCTATGAAAACTTGAAATAATCTGCTATTCAACCTGTTGTCAAACAAAGCAATGATATTAAGACAGGGTACTGAAGTCCTTCTCTCCAAATGGTATCATGGGCTGCCAAGAGGTCAAGAAAAACACAGACATTGGGATCCGTTCTCCTGATAGAAAGTTAGTGCAAGGATTTAATCATTACAATCATATTTGGGGAGAAATCCAGCTTGTTCTATTTGGATTACAGATTCTACTGCTAGGGTATTCTGTTTAACACAGCGGCTCCAACCCTTTCTATACCCCGCACTCCTAGAATGCTTCTGATATATTCTCACACCCCTTACAAAAGTTTGAAATAATGGCAGTGAATTATGTATATACACTATAATGTTAAAGACCCAAGGTTTTGCACCCCCTGGAATATTGTCTCGCACCCCAGGGGGTGTGAGCATCCTTGGTTGGGAACCCCTGGTTTAACATCAGTCTTTCTAAATGTTTGTAGGTGCAATAGAGAAGAGCAATTGGCCTGTAACTTGGTGGAAGGCTTGAATCCTTCCCTGGTTTCAAAATTGCAATAATTTTGCTCTTCTTGAATATAGGAGGCAGCCATCCTGAGTATAGTATGGTACTAAAAAAAGAGGCAAGCCAACATTTAGTTGCTGGTCCACAGTTCTGCAATAGCTCTGGGTACATGCCATCAAATCCTGCAGCTTTATCGTTTTGTAATGAATCCAGACCCTTCTGCATTTCTTCTGGTGTAAATGGGCGTGAGTATAAAGCATTAATATAATACAGTATATTAAATAAGGATAAATAATTGCTGAAAGTCAAAATGTAATACGTTCTTCCCATTCTGATTAGAATCAGAATGGAATCAGACTAGTATGCATTCATTCAGCTTACAAGAGATCACTGGACTATAGATGCCAACTGTAAGAAATCAATAATTGTAAACATTAATCCGGAGTTAAATAAATAAGCAGACAAGATTATATTTTGTTAGAGAAACACAGATCAGATTTTTTTTCTTTTATATTTGTTTATATGTGTCCATTCTGTTACATTTAAATCAGATATTTCATGGATGACAGGTTACCAATCTAATGTAGCAAACTAGATACCTTAACCCAGTGATGGCAACCCTTTTAGAGACCGAGTGCCCAAACTGCAACCCAAAAGCCACTTATGTATTGTCAGGTGCCGGGTGGGTGTGGCCCATTGGGTGGATGTGGCCAATTGGGTAGGCGTGGCCCATTGGGTGGGCATGAGTGCGGTGGTAATGGCAGACTGGGTGTGACTAAAAAGTTCAATCAATCAATTCCAACTTTGCAAGATCATTTTATTTCCTGCAAGAAGTTGAAATTGATTGATTGATTGATTGAACATTTTTTTTTTGCACACAGCGGTGGAGGCCTAAAGTGAAAAGGTTTTATAAAACCCAACTGAAGGCCTAGGACTGGGGCAATGGCACGCGTGCCCACAGAGAGGACTGTGCGTGCCACCTGTAGCACATGTGCCATAGGTTCACCACCACGGCCTTAACCTATATAACAGTGATGGCGAACCTTTTAGAGACTGAGTGCCCAAACTGCAACCCAAAAGCCACTTATGCATCGTCGAGTGCCAGGTGGGTGTGGCCCATTGGCTGGGTGTGGCCCATTGGGTGGGCGTGGCCAATTGGGTGGGCATGGCTGCCGTGGTAACGGCAGACTGGGTGGGCCTAAAAAGTTCAATCAATCAATTCCAACTTTGCAAGAACTTTTTTTTCCTGTGAGAAGTTGAAATTGACTGATTTAACCTTTTTTTTTTTTTTGCACATGGCGGCGGAGGCCTAAAGCGAAAAGGTTTTATAAAACCCAGCTGAAGGCCTAGGACTGGGGCGATGACGCGCGTGCCCACAGAGAGGGTTCTGAGTGCCGCCTCTGGCACCCGTGCCATAGGTTCGCCACCATTGCTATATAAGTTCATAAAAGCTGGTCATGCTGATTAGGGGCTTATGGGAATTATAGTTTAAAGCATTTGGGGTACGTTTGGAAAAGAATGATCACTTTTTTTCTAAAAGTATGTAAAAAAAGCTGCAAACATGTTGAAAAATATTCTCTACACTTTTATTTAAAATACTGTCAAGATGGATTGTTTTTTACAAAATCTTTAAATATTTTCTTACAGCTGTTGGTGAATCAGAAAGTGATATCTACATGCGATTCATGAAGTCACATAAGTGTTATGATATTGTTCCAACAAGTTCAAAGCTTGTGGTTTTTGACACTACACTACAGGTGAGTTTCCCTTTGGGAGATTCATTTCTTTACAGTTAGTTGTCTTGTGTCTGTAATAAACAACAACAACAAAAAAAAAAGAAATGTTATTAACGATGACATTAGTTCATATTTGAATATACTGGTATCCTTTTCTGCTGTAATTGCAAGCACAAATTCACCATTGGGTAGATTATAAAGTAGCATAAATCTTTGGAAAGTGCAAAAATCCCTTAATCTACTTCCAGTTCAAAACCCATCAAATTGCCCAGAATAGCATGGTCTAGTAGGCAGTTCACCATCATCCAGATGGAAACAGCACATTTTGTTTTCTAAGCTATGTCTTATTTCAGTTCTGATATACTTAATTTATGACCATTCGTTCAGCAATTATTCAGAATTACGACAGCACTGAATGAATGGTAGTTATGACCAGTCCTTGGAGTTCTAGCCCTCCCAGCACATTACGAGATTGCATTTTGAGTGCTGGATAGTTGGCAGACATTTATGAATGGTTCAATTGTCCCACAATTAGGTGCTCTCCATTGCAATCTTCCCTGACAGCTTCTAGGAAAGCTGTCAGGGAAATTTGCAGGTCCCTGGGATAAGTCTCCCCCACTTGCATATCCTCCCCTGTCATTATGCCCCATCAGCAAATCTCACGGAGCCTCAGATAATCGGAATATGTTTGTACGTCGTATCATTGATCCTATTCAGTTTTTGAAAGATTTGTGTAATAACCTACGCTTGTACTATATGCTGCTGTTTGGCTTTATGAAGAGGCCTAATCTGCCTTGCTGCAGGGCTCTCAACTGAATCTGACATTTCCCCAACATTTTGAAATGAGAGTTCTTGATAATATTTTTGCATGATATTTGGCATGTATGTGTGTGAACATAAGTGGTACTTATGACTGTTGTCCTACAACCAGTAAAGATAAAAGTTTCGCTGTTCAGTCGTGTCCAGTTTTAGGACACGGTGCTCATCTCCGTTACCTGGCCAAGGCAGCCAGTGTTGTCTGAAGACATTTTACATGTGGCTGTAAAGAACTGGGCTTTCATCTCTCTTGGATGCCATCTAGTGGTGTACCACCTAAGGTGTATTTCCCAGAAAAGATTTGAAGAATTTATTGAGTTGCATCTCAAATCACAGCATACATACCGTTGTAATCATTCAAAAGAGGGGAAGCTACCCCTCAAAATCTATAACGAACTGACTTGTTTAAAAGATCATTCTGTAAGGAGAGGAAATGAACAACCAGAACTTCCCTGAAAGCAGCTGCTAGTATAGAATTCGTTTTCTATAGTAACACAAGAGGAAAGTTCTTCCAATTATACCTTCATTTTGTGCATGAAAAGGCAGCCTGCAATTTCTTGCATTTTCTTGGTTTTGTGGTCAATCGATCCATTTTAAAGGAGGGGAGGGGCTGGGGAAGCAAGGAATCCATCTCCCTTGTAGTCAGAATATCCCTGGAGAAGAGGCAAGCAAGTTGGGCAGGTAGTCTTCAACCTGTCCCAGATGCAGAGTTATGGAGCTCAACAAATGGGTAACCTTTCTGCTGCAGGAAACGGTTTTATGGAAGAGACCTTCTATTACGGATTTAGAATTCAGGGCTGGAAGATAGCAGTTAAGCTTACTTCAGGGTAAAAAATGATTTTAAAATTGACAGCAATTCGCATCATTTTTATTTTAGATAAATCACTAATTTCAATATAGGTTCAAATTGGGTAATATAAAAAAACTTGACCAAAGAATGAGAATTGACTGGAGAAAACCAAGATTACAAATAATGTTACTTGGAAACTCCATTAAATTCATTTTAATAGTGTTGTTATTGAACATTAGCTCTCATTTGTAAGGATCCTAGTTCTTCGGACTAAAATCTGATAATTTTGAAATAGACATGTAACACATACACTATCATTTTCCTTATAAATATTCTTGAATGGTGCTAGTCACAGCATGTTACTGGGTGATAAGAAATGAATTTTTTAGTACTGACTAAGAGCAAAGGTAACTGCAAGTGATTTTTTTTCCCTACTTTTTTCCTGAAAAAATGTATAATTGCATTGCAGATTTATTATAAAATAAGCAGTTACCATGTCTTTGAATCTTGCGGATGAGAAAGGAAGACAAAAATTAAATGACCTCTTCTCTGACATACATCCCAATGTATTTAATTTCTGCCTCATTTCTTGAGTTTTAATTTAGTCATAAATGTTTTTTTTAATTTTCTAAAATGTGATCCCTGCCAGGCAACTATTGCAGGGGTTTTTTTGTGTGTGTGTGTGTTTTAAATTCAAATAGATATATCTTTCTAAATAGGTTCCAATTGGTTGTTGTGTTTTTCTTTTTTCAGGTAAAGAAAGCTTTCTTTGCTTTAGTGGCAAATGGTGTTCGAGCAGCTCCACTGTGGGAGAGTAAAAAACAAAGCTTTGTAGGTAGGACGATATTTGTTGGTATGAAATTATAGAAAAATAGCATGAGTGACTTTTTTCCTTCTGCTTTTTTTCCTTTTTTCTTTTATACTAAAAATAAGGATATATTTTAGATATATAGTAGTCAATGAACTTCCATTTAGCAAATTTTGGATGCAACGGACCAAATTTCTGTCTGGGCATGCCTCCAAAATAATGGACAAATCTGATATAACTGAAGTAGTTCAGATGAAGCAGCTACACTTGCATTAATGTTAGGTCATCCATAGTGATTTGCATCATTTTGGCCATGCTGTTATTAAGCAATTGATGTGAATTGTGTAATTAGTGTGGTGACACGATTGCTGCAATTCATATAATTGGTGATTAAGTGGATGGTTGAGAGTAATAGACCTACCTCCTCCCCACACATGCATTAAGTCAATATTATCTTGTATTGGGAAAACATGGTTTTCTGCTAAGTGACAAGCCCATGTGAGAAAAGCATTGGAAACTTCCAGTTTTAAACATATACATTTGAAAGTGATATCTGAATTTGTGTATGATTTCTTTATATTCTTGCATCTGTACTATGGTATAATATGTGGTACATAATCTATTTGGCCATTAACTAGATTTTAAACAAACTACACCTCATTAAGTTCACACTATAAAGGGAACTGTATTTAACTCAGAAGTAAAAACTTCCCAATCTCCTTGCACTCATGACAGAGGAAATAAATATTAAGCACAAGGCTCGCTACATCTCATACAAATAGTGAGAAAATAGGACCTGCTATCATATCTGATAATTTGTCACAGAATGAGGAAAAGAATGCAAGTGTATGAAAGATTTCTCATGAAGCTTTGCATTTTGATACAATTTTAAAGAAAGTGACACTGATTTTGGATCAGGTCTGGAAAACATACAAGACAGCATTACGTTTTACAACTCAGTTCTGAACAAAGATGGTATGTCATTTTTGAGTACAACTAGAAGAGTGCTCAAAGATTATCTTTGGCTGTGCTTAAGAAATATGGGCAGTTTTTCTTGCGCATAAGTCCAGTTGCATTTCAAATGTTTTAGCTGTATCCAATTTATATTAATCAGGTATCTGCTTTTATTTTTTTTCATTCTAATTGAAGACTCCTAACTTGCTATTCTAAATAAGACAATTCCGAAATAAGGATATAGTCATAATTTATTTTTAGATGTCTTCCACTAAGCTTCAGTATTGGAGGCTATTTACATGAAGCATTAAATTAAATTCTGGCACTTCAGAAAACAAGTTTAGAACTTGTATGCACTTTATGCCTTTAATAAGATAGAATTCTTAATAAGCACAGAATAGTTGGGAACTCTTATGTATCAGTCAAATTTTACTTTAGCTGAAAAACAATTCTAGCTCTTTGGTGGAAAGGATATTAAAACATTAAATTTTGTGGGGTAATTATGATATCACAACTCTTAATGTGATTTGTGAAGAATAAACATTACTGTGTTCGTGCATATTTCCAAGACTTCACTGGGCTTTCTGTCACTTACCAGTAAATCTGTAAAGTTTAACAAACTTAAAAACAGATTAGAAAACTGGATTAAATGTGCTTTTTCTTTGCCTTGTTACAGGAATGTTAACTATTACAGATTTCATTAATATACTGCATAGATACTACAAGTCTCCAATGGTAGGTTCCACCTCATAATTACAGCTTTTACAGATAAAACAGGATGCCTGAAATAAAAGTATTAATATAAAAATGGTTAAAAGTAATGGTTAAGAGAAAGAATGCCATTCTAGCTTGTATATAAATATGGAGTTTTCCAACTTCTCTGTAATTTGTGTGTAAAACTGAACAGGGACTCGCATGCCTTATTTTTTCATTAATATTATGGCTGACTATTGCCAAATGAAAAGAAAAAAGTATGTTCCCTAGATGGCAGTAATGCTTAACAATGATTGGCCCAGAAGAATGTAAAACACTATGTGTTTTGGGAAATATACAAACAGTGGAATAGATCTAGTGTGATTGGTTAGCATTTGACTGCAGAAACTTAAATTCAGTGTGTTGCTTAAATAGCTATATAGATAATTAGTGGACTTTGAGTAAATCAGTAATTCTCGCCTAGTGTACTCATGAGCCAACTTACAAAAATTAACAGTATAGCAACATTGTATCAGAATGTAATACTCTGAAGTTTTCATACAGAGGCATGGCCCTCTCTCCAGAAACCTCTGTATGAAAACTTCAGAGTATTAGATTCTGATACAATGTTGCTATACTGTTAATTTTTGTAAGTAAACAAGTATCACTATACAAACCCCACCTTTTATATACTTGCATGCCATGCTGCAGTACAAGTACAAAAGGGCAGAGCTAATGTTGTGATGTGATGCACATTTCAATTTGAAACATCACAGTTGTTAGGAAAACATCTTATGTTTCAATGTAGGCTTTGTATCCAGCCTGAAATTAGTTATTCTTAATATTTGAATGTAACAGCTGTATTTGAACCTGCCAATAACTGAAAAATGAAATATTTCTACCTTACATTGTTCAAATGCACATATTTGATACGTTGATCTGTTTCTCTGTTCAGTCATGTATCTGGCATATTGTTAGAATCACATACATTTACATAAGTTATTTTTTGATATGGCAGATTCTGGAGACAGTAGAAAAGAGAAAGAGCTAGAGTAAATAACAAAATACAAAGTCCTGTAAGTGGAAATAGAATGACTGTGGCAAAAGAAAGCAAAGGTAGTACCAATTACAATAGGCACCTCGGATGCAATCCCAAAACAATTGGAATGCCTCTTGAAGACCATCAGCATTGACAAATTCACCATCAGTCAATTGCAAAAAGAAGCTTTACTGGGAACAGCTTACATCATGCGACGATACTTCTAATACCATCAATATCAACATCTGTCTATCCCAGGTCCTTGGAAAGGCTTGATAGGTGGATAAAATGCCAAATCTGGTCTGAATCTGGCTGACTGCATGATGAACCATAGTAATTTCCTGTATTGACCTTTCAGTAAGTTAGAGGATGTGTTGTGAGAAAACCACTAAATATTTTTTTGCTTGTCATTAATCTTTCTTCCTGATATATTTTTTTTGTTTTGTTTTGCTGAATTTGAGACAATGAAAATAGTCAAGATACTTTTTTCACCTGGAACTTTACACAACAGTTTTAAAAATGGACATAGCTAAAGTGATACACAGAGCCAGCTGAAGCAAATATGATATTTAATCTTTCTAAAAGACGTAATCCTGTTTCATATATGCAAATTAATTATGCTTGCCAATTTGTAACACAGATACCCCTTGCTATTGGCATTTATGATCTCAAAGATGCAGAGGAAAGGAAAACCAACTTAAAAACTTACTGGTATTTGGAAATCTAAATGTTACAGTCTGGTTAGTTAAGAAACAGATTGTCCTCCCACAGTAATTCTGTTCATCCTGTCTTCAAACCCCAAATGTACAATTACTGCATTTGCTTATCTTCTTTACTTCCTAAAGTGGCATCTGCACTTATTTTGTCTTTCGTGCAGCGGTACATTCAACTACAATTACTCACTGTTATAAGTATATACATCAAGTAAAGAAAAGTGAATCAAGCTGTAGATTACTGATCAACCAGGACTGCCAAACTACTAATGTGTTAAATGGGATGAAGAATTTTCCTTCATGTGTACTCCCCAAAGACTGACTCCAGGGGAGTTTCCTGTTAAACACACAAACCCTGACTAGACAGCTTCTGTTATGTTTGCAGCATTGAATGATATATTGCAGCACTGCTCATCTCACACTTGAGCCAGGTGGTCTAGTTTTGGTGGCCTTGTCCTAGATCCATTGTGTAAATAATAAGTAAGCTAACTTAACCAGTCAATGCAGTGCACCATCTTATTATGGATTTCATGCACCTTTTTTTTCATATAGTATTGCTATAATTTGGAATGAGGTGACTTTCTTATGACAGTGAACAAGGCATTTTTTAAAAATCAAATGCAGGGACATTCCTTTCACTGCTGAACATATTTGAGTGCATAATTCCCATAAATATGAATAGAAAAACCTGGGGGCAGGGGTGTAGTCAACAAAACAGATGTCTTGCTTGTCTGTGGCTGTATGTGCAGATGGCCCAGAGCTGGCTCTGTTGTTCAACATCAAGGTTGCCAACTCTAGCAAAGTTCCTTCCAAGGAGAAGGTGGAATTGGTGGATATTCAACAGGTATTCTTGTCTCAAAAGTTGAAAAAAATCTGTGCTTTAGGCTGCCACACAAGTGAGCATTGTTTTGTCAAGCGTCAGGCAGTGGCAGGTGCCAGGCAATCATTTTCTTTGAAGACCCGTGGACAATAAAATAACAATAAGTAAGGAGGTTTTAAGCTTTATTTTTAACTTTAGCAGAGAGATAACAGAAGCATAAAAGCAAATATACCAAACAAGATGATAAACAGCAAACCCTTCTTCAACTCTTAGGAGCCCCAGCAGAATGATAGCAGAGAAACCCCAAGATTACTTAAATTGGCACCTGTTTCTCTGTACAATTACCAGACATCCCATGTGCTTTAAGTTTGCGTGATGAAAGGTCAGGTCATACAATCATGGGATCATATAGACAAAGTCATGAGAACCTGGCACCAAGTGTAAACAATTAAGGTCTTGGCACATGGTCTGGTGCAAGATAGTGATAAAAGATCCTGGCATTGGCCTTGGAATTGGGAACTTTAACATAGACCTTTGAAGATAGCTGTTATGTGACTGGTATATCTTGAGGTTTCTCAGTAATTGTTCCATAGGTCCTGGGTTGGGGTTTTGGGCATCTTAGGGTCTCTCCATTGTTATTCCACTGACAGGTGATGGAGGGGTTTGTTGTACTTTTATGTTTCTGTTTAATTTTTTTTCTTGGGTTAATTAAGAAAACTGATAAAGTTAACTGCAGCAGTACTTTTTTTTTGGGACAGCTTTCTTCCTGAGATCTGGATGGCTTCAATCCAGTTGGTCTTCTGGAAGGCTGCATATACCCCGCTTGTTGGCCAGGCCATTAGTGGAGCCTAGTATGCCTGCTGCTATATGAATTGCCTTGATTATAGTGTGATCATTGTTTTTAATCATATTGAGTTTTTATTAATATGTTGTTTAACAAACTTTATTAGCTCCGTTTAAAAAAGATAAATATAACATTCACTTCATTAGCAAAATCCAGCAGTTTTGCCATTCAATTTTACTACTATTTTGAAAGGAGGAATTCTACTGAGAGCAATTTTTATTTGAATAGTGTTCTTTGCTAAGATGTTATTTTGTAAAGTACTGTTAACACTGTTTGATTTTAAATGAATAATACCAGGACAAGCATGATTTTTTTATTTGCACAAATGCCAAGATTTTAATGCAGTGAGGAAGAACAGTTTTGTTTACAGGATCTATTCTCCTTGTATACTATTGACTATACATATACTTTCTGTAAAATTTCCTGACTTCCTTCCATTTGGGTTGGGTAAACTGTGATGAATTAATCAGTGTAAGCTTCTGTTCAGTATAACAATGATGTGATTCACACTGGCTTGCACAGTGTGGTAAGATATGATATGTACCATGCAACATATATATTAAAATGCAAGTTGGTTCTGTAGTCTTCATTTTTGAAAGAAAAAATCATAGTTTTCAATGCCTTAGATTTGGCGGTTTTATAATTCTAGCTCCCAGGAGTCATGAACTCTCACTTAATATTCACTTGTTAGAACCAAGAGGGGAAAGGATTAAAAACTGGGGGGGGGAGGAAAGTAGGAGGAAATGTTATTTAGTGATTATCACTGTTCAGACAAGTATTCTGTTGGATGCCACTGATCTCAGAAAATAAAATTTATTTTTCAAAGCACTACAAAATAAAATTTTAGAGAATTTTATATTCTAACCAAATTTTGTTTCTCTTTAATGCAACATACTTGCAATGTTGATAGAAATAATAGTGAACTGAATATAGTTCTTAATTCTAATAATTGGAATCCTGAATTCTACTATATAGATAGAAGAGCTGTATATAATGCTGAGCGTTTGATCTTTTTCCTAATTTTGGCAAGCTCTTTGGTTGAATTTTAAATTTGTTTATTATCTAGCCCTTGCTTATATGGAGACAATTTGATGTGGTGATTAAAGGCTCAAGGTTAGGAACTGAGAGAGGAACTGGGAGACTGGACAGACACTTGTCTGAGATGGTATAGGTTTTCCTGCTTGAGCAGGGGGCTGGACTAGAAGACCTCCAAGGTCCCCTCCAGATTCTATTCTACTCTGCTCTGCTCTGCTCTGCTCTATTCTACTCTACTCTACTCTACTCTACTCTACTCTATTCTATTCTTAGGCATGAAGCCAGCTGGATAACTTTGGGACACTGTTTCTAAGAATCAAGTCAAGAAAAACTGCAGGGATTTGTCTAGAGTCTAGACAGTTGCCAGGAGTCAGGAATTACTTGAGGGTGAATACTCATATACACACTACCCAAAAGCTCACCACTTAGAAAAGAACTCCCATAAAATCCCCTTTTCTTCTGTTCTCAATATTTTTATTCAAAGGAAGATGCCCTTTATTTTAATAACTTTTTAAAATATAAGTGTCTAGCCTTTTTTGTCTTTCCTTTTTAACAGGTACAAATCTATGAACTAGAGGAGCACAAAATTGAAACATGGAGAGGTAAGTATATGTTATAAAATGAATGTGATCCTCCAAACTAGCTGTGCAGCTCTCTTGTTTACTAGATCTTTTATCATCCCCAAATCTAAGAATGGTAATATACCCGTAAACAGCTCATATCCTAGAATGCAGAACTAACTTAATGTGTCTCGATGCTTGTCCCAGTAAATCAGTGTTACTTTTCCTTGGACGTCTATATTTTTTCATTCACATTATCTTTCTCATATAATTGTTGCAGTGATTTTCCCCTAGTGGAAAAACAGTTCCATTGTAGATAGTGATTGAGTCTTGTCTTAGTTTTATTTTATTGAAGATGAGTCCTCTAGACCCCGCTATGTGTCATAGAAAAATACTGATAGCCTATTTGATCTACTGAGTTAAAAAAAATAAATTAGCCTTCTGAAATGTAAACACTTGGGTAATTCCAAACTTTCTCTAAAATACTTTCCACAACTTTATAGTATAGTGACCTCTAGTGGTTATTTGGTTCTAGTTTTTCCAGTTTTCTCTGTTTATTATTAGTTTTGAATTAAAAAGCCAATAGGTGCTTGTTTCTTTATCACAGATATGTTTATTGTTATGAAATAGTTATTGAATAGTATAGGTTTATGAAAATATTCTTTTTTAATTATACAGAGCTTTATTTGCAAGAAACCTTTAAACCCTTAGTGAATATTTCACCAGATGCAAGGTATATTTCTTTACCTTTTTATTTGTAAATTCTATTAATGTTTTATTATAAACTCGGTTAATGCATTTTTATCACACTATTTCAAAGAAGTTCTTAAGACTAATTCAATATCTGTCAGAAGTTATGGTTTTGACGGCAGTCATTTATCTGATGCTCACTTTAATGCTCTTTGTATTGATGACTTCTATTGATGAGTTTGGAGACATGATGGCTCAGCAGTTAAAGATGCTGAGCTTGTCAAGCTGAAAAGCTGACAGCCCAGGTTTGAGACCTAAGTGCTACACAACAGAGTAAGCTCCTATTACTCGCCCACCTAGCAGTTTGAAAGCTGCAAACGCGAATAGATAAATAGATATCATTTTAGTGGGAAGGAAATAGTATTCTGTGCACCTTGTATAGTCATGCTGGCTACGGAAAATGTTTTCGGACAATATTGGCTCAGCTAAGCAACAAAGATGAACACGCTTCCTAGAGTCGGACACAACTGGATAGGGGAAATCTTTACCTTTATAAATCAGTTATCAACTCTGAATTATCAGCTTACTTGTCACTATCAATAACTTTGAGTCTTGATAACATTTTTCCTTCTCTACTGTATATCTTTCCACAACTCTCATTATAATGATTCTTCTCCTAGAACGTTCTTTTTATGTTTTGATATACTTATTGGTATGTTGATATTAAAATATATGTAACATGTCTAGTTGAGAATTAAAATTGTAAATTTTTCAGTTTTCACAATTTCCTTGAATATTGTTTATTAAGAATCATTTATACTTTGGATTTTGAGTAATTCTTTTGTAGTGGGAAAATGTCTTTTTGAAATAAGTCAATAGAATATACTAATAATTGTAATAACTTTTTCTTTAGCCTTTTTGATGCTGTATATTCACTGATCAAAAACAAAATCCACAGATTACCAGTTATTGATCCTGTGAGTGGAAATGCACTTTATATACTTACCCATAAAAGAATACTCAAGTTCCTCCAGCTTTTTGTAAGTAGAACTATAATTTTATTTAATTTATCTAGTAAATCAATTGTATGAATGTTAAAATTATCCCGGGTCTGTGTCAATATACTCATTACATGTACCTTCTAGTTGGCAAAATGTAAACAGCAGTATATTGACTGGTCAGTTTGTCTCTAAATCACAAATTCTACCTTGTGTAGAAAAGCACAAGCATAATTTAGTAAAGTCTAGTTTACTAGCTGCATATGGCATAGGTATGTGTAAGGCAGATAATTTAGTCTGCATCTCTTCTATTAAATTTAAAATGGTATATGAAAGCCTCAAGCATTCCAATTGATGATGGGTGATGGAGATCAGTATCTATGCCAGTGATAGACTGAGTGCCCAAACCCGTCTCCGCCCCTACCCTGCCCGCTCCACCCGTTCCGCCCACCCGCAGGGCCACCCACCGCCTCCATGGCCCGCCGCAGCAGATTGCCCAGCAGCGCCATGGCGGCCATGCCCTCTGCCCGCGCCCTGCAGCATCATCTGCACGTGACAGGGCGCGAGGGCGGCCATGGAGGGAGGCTGGGGTGATGGTGCGCGTGTGCACAGAGAGGGCTCTGAGTGCCACCTCTGGCATGCGTGCCGTACATTCGCCACCACTGATCTATGCCATCCTTTGACAACCATGGCATATGGAAGGTTGGAACATGGAATGTAAGAGAAATAAATAGTAAAAACATGATCTGACAGGTGAAATGAAATGAAGAACAATAAAATTCAAACCTGTTGGCCCTGCTGAAGTAGACAGCTTCTCAGAGCTGTCAGCTTGTCCACCTGTGTTTTAGATCCCTGCCCCTCCTGATTCATTAATGTCTCCTGGGAGGGGGCAGATGGAATACATATTGGAAAGAGACATACAGTTTCCATGACACATACAGGAACAATTAACACTGAAAGTTTCAAAGCTGTGAAAGTTTTATCTAAGATGATTTCTGACATTCCAAATAAGACAATGGTAAAAGTGCAGTATTCCATTGAAAAAAGCATTCTGAGGATGAAACAAAAGAACTGAAAGCTGAATATTCATGTTTAAACAAATGTGACATTTAGATTTGAGTTTACACACTAATTTCGGGTTTACTAAATTTTAGAATTGGTGAAGATTTATTGAAGTGAAAGAACTGAAGAAATAAATTCCTCATGCAGTTTTTTTTTTTTAAAAAAGTACTGGCTTATGTATCTGGAAAACGCTTTTCAAATTATTGTTTTTTTAAATTTGTCTTCTATTTTTTTCAAGGTGTCAGAAATGCCAAAGCCTGCCTTCATGAAGAAAAATCTGGATGAACTTGGAATAGGAACTTACCATAATATTGCCTTTATACATCCAGACACTCCTATCATTAAAGCCTTGAATATATTTGTAGATAGAAGGATATCAGCACTACCTGTTGTGGATGAGTCAGGTGAGTAGTAAGGATATCAAGTTTGCTACTACTTGTTGTGAGTACTAAAGACTGGAAATATTTTTAAATTTTAAGACAACCACAAAATGCAGATATGCAGAAATGAGATCTGAAGAACTTTTGCCCACATTATATCAAAATATTGTGCATACCTTATTAGAAAAAACTTTGAAGATTTCATTGTTTATTTAGATCAGTGTTTCTTAATGTTGGCAAATTTGGGATGCATGGTTTTCAACTCCCAGAATTCCCCAGCTAACATTCTGGATAACTTTTTCTATAGCTTCATTTGGACGGTTTAAAGAAAAGAAATAAATATTATTCCAAGAAGCCCTAGAAATAATATTTCTGGGAACTAACATACTTCTACAATATCATCTGGGAGTTAGTCAGCTGAAAAATCTGGCTAATCACCCCATGTCATCCTCAATGTGGTGTCATGCTGCCCCAAAGTCCACAAAACAAATGAGATTTGTTCCAAGGGTAAGTCATTCACCAAGATTGTTAATGTTCCAAAACAGCATCTAAATTTGTAAACAAGGATATGTGCTTCAGTGTTCAGGAAAACATTCTATTCTCATATTGAATTTGCAATTCAATTGTTTAACAGAGTTCATGGTTTTTTCTTAATTGTTTTCCTTAGCCCATAAAGCTCTTTCCAAAATGTGGAATCAATATTAACTAATTTGGTTTGTCAATTATTTGCAATCACATTATAAGACTTATTTATCTTCCCCTTTTAGGAAAAGTTGTAGATATTTATTCCAAATTTGATGTTATAGTAAGTATTATTTTTATTTTTTATAATACTTTTTGACTTTCACTGTGACCACTCTGTAATATGCCCTGGTTCATAGGGTTAGGGTTATTCTTATGAAGTTATTTCGTTAATATGTTAAATAATACTTGGAAAGCATCTTTATAACCATTATACTAGTTCTCCCCCCTCCTCCCCCAGACTACTAGTGCGGTAGTCATAATGTAGATCATACTCCGAGTTCATGTAGCATATGTTATTTCCAAAGGCAAAGTATGATGCAGTCAGAAATTTTCTTTAGCATAGTGAGTTTTACATAAATATTATAAAGTGACAGCACCAAAACTGTTAAGTAAAAATGAGAAGAAAAAATAAATTTGAGGTTTTATTTTATGAATACCTTTTGCTTTAATCTAAAGCAATCTAAAGTAACTAATCTAAAGTATTCCAAGGATACTTTATAAAAATGGGAATAAAATTCTTGGTTGAGGAAAAAACTACTGAGCAATAGTTTACAGTATCTGACGCTTCAGATGAAACAGTGCTATCCTGTCTTAAAATCAAAGATGGGAAATGAGAGGGATTCTGTTGCTTTTTCTTGCTTTTTTCTCTTTTCATGATCATTGCCCCCTTTGAATTCAAAATTATGGGGAGCTCATATCCATAGTCTGCTACCGTAGTTAGAAAGGGCTTGATAATTGTCATTAATGAGAATGCTGGGACAAAATGAAAAGAAAGGGAAATACTTAGTTGAGAAGAGATGGACAAGCAACCATACTCTTCTTCATATCTCCCACCCCAAGATCTTTAATTTTAGAGTTAAAAATTAAGTACCACTAATGTGCAATATGCATTGTTTTAACTAAAACACTCTTTTCTTGCACCCAATTAACCCAAAATATGTATGGTAATATCATTGGGGCACATACAGGCTTGTCTACTTTACTTTTTCCCCATTAGTTAAATCACAACATGTGGGTCACATTCTGGAGTAAAATAATAAAATGTATTAGCTGCACATAAAAAGTGGAATTGAATCATCCATAACTGCCTTTTTTTCTAGAATCTTGCTGCTGAAAAAACTTATAATAACTTAGATATCACAGTGACACAAGCTCTCCAACATCGCTCTCAGTATTTTGAAGGTGTTGTGAAATGTAATAAGCTGGAAACGCTGGAAACAATTGTGGATCGGATAGTTAAAGCTGAGGTGAGAATTTGGGAGGAGGGCACAGTAGTTTTCTGAATAGCGCTGCTTATGAAATTTACAGATGAGAGTAAATAAATAGTAACAGTATAAGAATATCATGATATAATACAAAATGCATTAAAACTTAATCCAGCCACTTTTTTTAAAAAAAGTGCAATAAATTTATTATATGATCCTTTTATTTTTTACACTTATTTATAAGGTTTGTTAAATTTCCTAATTAAATATACTGCTTTTATTGAGATTTCAAAGTGGTCTTGCTATGTAAATATAGATAGTTTAGAAAAAGTTTGTTGATGTGAATGGATTAAACCATCAAAACATTTAAGAATTGCTAGGAACAAATGTGTTGAAGATGTGTGAGAACAGCATGATAGAAACATTCTGTTAACACACCTTTATGTGATAATTAAAGTAGCTTAAAAAGTGAATAATAAGAAACTGTTCAACCTCTCACTTTTTTAGCAATCAGCAATCTATTCTAAATAAGGAATAATTGAGATGTACCCTCAAAACACTGCATATCTTCTGCAGGGTAAAGCTGTTTTTTTGCTTTGCTTTGATTGCAGGTTTGATTCACTTGCAGACAACAGGCCAGACTAGAAATTTATCCCCATTCCATTTTCAACAAACTTTTCATGAAATTCTAAAATGTTTCATGTATCCTAAAATTTTATTACTTTCTGCTTTCTCCAAGTAGCATTTGACTGGATTTTGAGAATGTATGGATAATCTTCCCAATAGCCGTTCATCACTTATCTAAGCTCATAGTTTCTTTTTCCAATTCTTTTCTTCCAACCACCATCTTTTCAAAATATAATTAGAAAAAAATCTCAAAAGGTTCTGAATTATTTTCTGTACCACTAAAATCAACAATGGCTTTGAAATATTTTGCTCTGTGGCCAAATGAAGACAGGAACAAACTACGAAAAAGTCAAGAGGCAAGCAAAAAGGAGTAGGGAGCCCTATATATGCTTTTTTGAGCCTCTGCAGCAAAGAAAGATGAATTTAACAAACAAATTAAATATAGTTATGTGTTATTCAGGAGCCCATTTGTGTAAGAAAATTACCAAACATGGAAAGAAAGATCAATTGATTAAATCTGTGCAGTATTCATAGACACATTGAACCCTTTCATCATAATCCTACGTAAAATATCACCAATATAAGATAAACATCTATAAAAATAGAATTTCCCCCCTTTTCTGTTTCTTTCCTGTGTTCCCCATTTGTATCAGGTGGGTATGACTGTTCAAATACAAGAGAAGAGGAGCTCTAAATTGCCTGGCCGGTAGGTGGTTCACCTCTGTCCTCCATTGTTGAAAAACCTTGACTTGATTCTGTGTGCTTACCATTTGACAGAGTGCCCACCCTTTCTTTCATCAGTTCTTTTCAATTCACAATATTTCCTAAAATGGACACAAAATGAGAAAATAGTAGCAAGAAGAGTAGTTTACAGGGGTTAGGAATCTGGGCCCCTCCAGTAGCTGTTGGAACAACATAGCCTAGCTAGCAAGGCAGTGCTGGGAGTTGAAGTTCAGTACATCTAGATTCCTCATTCCTGCTGCAAAATCTCAACTCTATTGTAGGAATGAGCCCTTAAGATTCCGTTTAAGGTAGGAATGTTAGGTAAGATCATTTAGCAAATGATCATTTAGCAAAGCCTTTTATTTTTCCAAAGGATAATACTCTTGAAATGCCCTGGGGAAGCGATAATGTGTTTGCCTTTTTAATCAAATGAACATCTTTCCCTTGATCCTCTGACCCATTCCAGTTAATACTGTTGCTGTCAAATGTTGAGAGTCAAAAAATTTGAGACCATTTTTCACTTTCATATATAACTCATTTGTATTAACTTAAACTGTAAGTTACTAGATCAAGAGAAAGGGTATCTTGATCTAGATGAGGTCTATAAGACCCTCACTTGGATTAAATGATAAGTGGAGTGAAAAAAGATCAGCTGCCTATTGGTTTCATATAGATGTTAAATAGAGGAGTCCTAGTTTTGGGAGTTGCAACTTGGTCATTAAGTGAAGCAGTTGATAAGGGAAACTGCAACTCTGCTTATGATCTTTCTTTAGCTTTCCTTTGATCTGCAAACTTAACAGAGATTGTAAATGCAAGGATTGGATATACAGCTTTTCATTGCCCTTTTAACTGCAAAAAATGTTAGAGACAATTGCTAAACAAGGACTATCTGTAATATGAACAATATAATAGAATCTTGTGAACTTTCATATTATAATTGCAAATACAGTTCTTTTATTCCAATTTTCGAAGGTATCAAACAACCCAGGAGATTCAGTAGAATCACAAATTGCAGTTTGTTTTATATGAAAGCAATATCTGATCCAGAAAAATGAGGAATGGCTTACAAATAATCCAATTTACATTATTTGAGTTTAAAGCGATTTTCCTATCTTGACTAACAGAAGAGAATATCAGTACTTGAGGTTAAACTGTAAAGTTTTTGGATCCAAGTTCTGAGAGCACCAAGAACTCCACATATCTTTACTAATGGGAATTCCCTGATTCAGACATAATGCCAGTATTCAAAGATTCTACTAACTCTAATTATGGTTTGTTTATTTTGTTCATAGTCGCTCAAACTGTTATGGCAGTGTTCACAATTTAGGTTTAATAAATTAACAAATTAAGCTTAAAAAGCTTAATAATGGCTTACCACAAAATGTGCGCTTGGCCAGTTGCAAGCTGTGATTAATATGGCCTTCTGAATTATTTCTCCTCTCACATAAAGAAGGGGGAAATGCATGTAGATGCAGAAGACTTATTCATCTTTTAACTCCTGTAATATCCAAATCTCAACCTAATATTACAGATTGGATTTGCCTTCCTTTGTCTCTCCTGTCCTCCTGTTGGCTATACCTGTATTCAGTTAGCTAAAGGTAAAACATGGGAATGTGCACACACACACACACACACACAACTTCATAATTTGGTAAGGTTATACATAAACAAGTTTTTGCTGTCATATACAGTAAACTTTCTCATGATCTTCAAAAATAATACATAACTTAAATAGGTTAGCTACTCAAAATGTTTCCTGGGCAAATGCTATCATACTATACTGTTTGGAGCATAAATTAAAAAACATGCAATTAGGATAAAGCTTTTATTAGGTTGTTCTAATTTTAAATATAGTTTATGTTTGAAAGTGATAACATTACACTTCACTTTTATCATAAAAATAGACTTGTTGGCTTTAGCCTGTTCCTTGTTACATTACATTTCATTATTTAGTTATAATCTCTATTTTTATCAAGAATCTTCTACTTAAATATATTTATAACCAGTCAAATTTTTTGCTGAATATTCTTACCTCCCATTCTATTAGAATAATGCAGAAATAGCTATGTACAAGGGGATCATTGCTAATATTTTGTTAGTTTTTCAACAATTACTCTTGATTACCTGCATGAAATTAACCTGTTCTAGTGTAGAATATGTAAGCCTTTAGTTTTACCTAAGTCCACAGAAAGGACCTATGTTCCAGTGCACAGAACTGATAGTTAAGAACAAGACTTGGAATGTGTTGCAGTGGCATATTGTCAATAAAGCTAAATGTAACTTGATCCAGACATCAGATGAGAATTTGGGGAAACAGATGTCATTGCTAATGTTTGCTCTTTGTAGACTACATAAATCACTTCAGTAAGAATGGCTCTCTAAAGGAGAACAAATCCACTTTTTAGAAAGTACTTAAAATGTTAACGTTAATTTGATTTGGAAACTAAGCATCCCTCTAAATAAGATAATCCAGCTGTCTCTTAACCTGAATATTCTTATTTTTATTGTGCTTATGAGGACAATTGGATAGCCACTATTGTTATGTGCATTGTGTTTGCAGGTTCATCGGTTGGTGGTTGTGAATGAAACTGATACTATTGTTGGTATCATCTCCCTCTCTGACATCCTCCAAGCATTAGTGCTTACGCCAACAGGTATGAGTTCCACATTTAACTAGTAAGTGTTTTCTCTAGCAACACGACATATATTTTATATTGATTTTTATCTTTATAACAAGTCGTAAAACATAGGCAGACTATGAAAGGACTCTCCATTGAACTTTAAGAGAACGAATAAGGATATTTTTATGCATGCACCTCTCAAATGTAGCAATAATTCATTTTAAATCAGCATATTCTTTAGATATAATCCTCCAATTTAAAAAAAAAATCATTAAAACTTGGTTGCTCCAAAGGTGCTTTTTCAAGAGGCAACAGGACTTAGTTGTTTTTCTTTATAGACGTTTCGCTTCTCATCCAAGAAGCTTCTTCAATTCTGACTGGATGGCGGGGAATGGAAGGATTTATATTCCTTGCAGACAGCTGGTCATTTGCATGGGGCAGAAAACATCCTGCAGAAAACACAGCTCCAACTTCTCAACATTTTCTGCAAGTGACCAGCTGTCTGCAAGGAATATAAATCCTTCCATTCCCCACCATCCAGTCAGAGCTGAAGAAGCTTCTTGGATGAGAAGCTAAATGTCTTCAAAGAAAGCAAATAAGTCCAGTTGCCTCTTGAAAAATCACCTTTGGAACAACCGTGACCTGGATGACTGACAATCTCCATAAATCTTAATACTTGGTCCACATGCAGTTATAAAAATAGGAATCTCATTTCCAATTTCTAATTGGCTAAGCAGATTGTTCTAGGTTTAGAATCCAGTGATCCTCCAGTGGTTAAGACGCCAGGCTAGATACCAGGTGAGTTCTAGTCCTACCTTAGGCATGAAAACCAACTGGATGACTTTGGACCAATCACTCTCTCAGTCCAGCTCACCTTACAGGGCTGCTGTGGGGAAAATAGGAGGAGGAATAAGTATTAGGTAAGTTTATTTTTATTTATTTATTAAGTTTATATGCCACCCACTTCACAGTTGAGCGAACTTGATGTTTCTGCCTTGAATTATTTATAAAAATAATAAAGTAGGATTAAAAAAATCTTAAAAAATAATATCATGGGTGAGTATGTTTTTACATTCAGTATATACACTGAACTTTCTTAAACATCACAAGTGAACAAGCAAATTATTATTGTTCAGTACATTTGACATTTATAGAGTACTGATTCAGTCTCAACAGAAAAGTTTAAAATAAATGAAAGACATTAATACATTAGCTGCACTAGAAGTTAGTTATACTTGAAGTTTAAAAGTATATTGTAAATTAGAAATATTCCAGTTAATCTAAATATGCATAAAAAGATTTTTTGGGGCAGAATACATAAGGGATTTGAAGTAAATTATGAAGTTGGAAGTGGATGTAATCCATTATGGGCATATACAGAGGCCTGGCATATTCAGTGCATTCAGAAAGTATTCAGACCCCCTTCATTTTTGTCAATTTTGTTATGTTGCAGCCTGATTCTATATGTTGAAATTCATTTATTTTTCTCATTAATCTATACTCAATACCCCATAATGACAAAGTGAAAACAGAAGTTTAGAAATGTCTTATCAATTGGGTTCTTGGCCACCTCTCTTACTTCTCCCCTGATTGCTCAGTTTGATCAGGCGACCAGCTCTTGGAAGAGTCCTGGTTGTGCCAAACCTCTTCCATTTGAGAATTACGGAAGCCACTGTGCTCGTAGGAACCTTCATTGCAGAAAAATTTTATTGTACCCTTCCCCAGATCTGTGCCTTGAAATAATCCTGTCTCTGAGCTCTGCAGGCAGTTCCTTTGACCTCATGGCTTTTGCTCTGCTACAGCACGGGTGTCAAACTCGCCGCGTCACATGACGTGTCGTGACTTTTTTCGCATTGCCAGAGCTGGGGTGGGCGCGGCCTCTGCATGATGCAACTGACTGTGGGCTGGCAGTTTGACACCGCTGTGCTACAGTATGCATTGTCAGCTGTGAGGCCTTCTATGGAGAGGTGTGTGCCTTTCCAAATCATATCCAATCCATTTAATTTACCAGAGGTGGATTCCAATCAAGGTGTACAAACATGTCAAGCGATTCAAGGGAAATGGGAGGTACCTGAGCTAAATTTTAAGTGTTATTGCAATGGGTCTAAATACTTACGCCAATGTGGTATTTTTCTTTTTAATAAATTTACAGACATTTCTAAAATTCTGTTTTCACTCTGTTCTCATGGGGTACTGAATGTAGATTAATGAATTTCAACAACTGTAGATTCAGGCTACAGCATAACAAAATTGACAAAAGTGAAGGGGGTTTGAATATTTTCTGAATTCACTGTATATAAGCCTTTATATAGAAGGAGTAAAGTGTGAGTAGCACTGGGCTGAACTAGACAGTGCTGGGCCCAATCCGTCTGTGCAGAGATCCTTATCCCTCCTCAGATTTTGACAGCTCAGTCTGTATTTCTTACACAGACTAGTATGAGTCACTAAGTAATTTCATGAAGTACAATAGGAATAGAAAAGAGAGGAAACAATCCTAACACAGATAATGCACTGCAAGAGAAACGTATTTGAAGGGAAACCATGAAAAAGCAAGATGTAAGGGGGAAAATACACGCTTGCTGTACAGAAGAGCCAGAGATGCATCTATTTGCTATTTATTAACAGGCGCCCGGCAAAAGGAGAGTGGAACTGAATGACTGCTTTGAACAGAACTACCTTGGAAAGAAGAATTCAAATAAAGTGGCTGGGTCATCTTTGCCTCAAGAACATTGATGGCAGTAGAGAAGAGTCAAGTGATGATGAGAATGTGTGTGTATTAGGCTAAGTGATGGATAGTCTATTATTTCCCAGTGACTGTCGCAAAACAAGCAGCATGACAAAAAGCTTCTGTATTCAATGCAGGCTTGCATTTCAACATGTTTGCCAAAAGATTTCACCTGATATCCATCTCAAATGCACTGGAAAAGAATAGCATTTAATGTTATGTTTTAATCTGATGCAAGTCACTGGTCAGCAACAGAGATCTCCGACATAAGGCAAGTGTATGGCATATTCATATCAGAGTGCCTTATGTCAAAAAGCCAACAATATGTCATCACTGTTGCCCATAGTAAAAGAACGTGTGAAACAAGACACTATTTGAACATTCAAGTCGCTAAGCCTAAAACCAAATCAATTTCAGTTATCGTTAGATTTGTTCTAAAAGCTGTAATTTAAATACCAGTAGATTATTTTAAACTTTAATTACAACTGTGTGTTTCTAAATGTTACATTCTGAACAGAGATCGTAAAACAAAACTGATTAAAAGCAGCTTTATTTATTTTTATTTCTGCAATTTTTACACATCTTTGGTGGATAGTTAAAACTTCACCATATTCATTAATAAAGCATTGATTCATATATAAGAAGCAAATTTCTCATTACTGAAACAGATGATAGAAGCCATCTTTACAGATGCATTACACAAAAGGTTGAGAAATTGTTTATTAAATGTATTGCCATGCAACATCTTTGTCCACAAAAGAGAAATCATATAGTGGTAACCTAAATGAATGAAGTATGTTGAATTTAAATTGCCAGAAGGTAAGAATATAGTGCTAGAAATCTGTCTACTACTAAAACTCTTTCCTATAAGCTTTAACTGGGTGAAATGATGCATCATATGACAACAATTTTTGAATCAAGGTTAACTTACAGAAAGTGTCTAAAATCTGGGGTCCATGACTCCTGAGGAAATGAGATTAGAAGTTGTGGCTTTTTCATCTCTGGTCAAATGATGCTCATTTTGAACAGTTCTATCAAATCTATAACAGTTTCTCAGCTACTTTAATATTCCCAATGTTTTAAAAAAATAGAAAATTTGAAGTCCAAAACACATGGAAGCACAATTTACCTGCAGAAATAGTTCATAATTTTTTAAAAATTATCAGCATATTGGCTTTTTCTAAAATATTGAATGAGGGAAATTTGACATTGCCTAACTGTATATTGTTAACAACCTCTTGAAAGGCAGGCAGATTTCAGAAGAGTTGGTCGGATTTTAGATTAACTTTTAAAATTATACAGACTAAATATGTATACTGATGGAAGAAGACAATCTGGAAAAAGAACCCATCTGCCCTGTTTGACCATGCTCTCTTTAAATAAAAGCAGAATTGAAACTGAGGTGTGCAGATGTACACAATTTGCTGGTGAGAACATTTTATTCCACAATGTAATCTTTTTCATAGGAGAATTCTTCAAGCTCATTTGCACTTGCCCAACTCCAACATGCTTTTCTCAGGGTATGATGACCTGAAGCAAGCACAGCATTCAACTTGTCAACTAGTCTGTTTCTGCTCCTTTCCTCATGACACCAATCATTTGCCATTGCTTTTTTCTCCAGCAAGCATCACTTTCTTGGTCATTCAGCAGTAACTCAGCAAATATGTGCGTAACTTTTTTTTCTTACTGTTAACTGTTTTTGCCATTTTCATGCCCATTCTAGGCAGATCCTTCAATGCAGATCTCTTCAATCTCTCCTTTAAAAAAACAGTACCTTGGTTTCAGTACAAACAGAATGCTTAAAATTTTTAGGCTGGTGTCTTTCAAATTTATCCTCTATTATATGATTGGGTTCTTTCAAACATTATATAAATAATCTGGCAAGTACTAAAAATCTAACATTCTATACTATGCTGCAGTATTTCTCAACCTTGATAATTTTCATATGTGTGGGCTTCAGTTCCCAGAGTTCTTTGGGAGGATGGCTAGGGAATTCTGGTAGTTGAAGTCCACATATCTTAAAAATCGCCAATATTGAGAAATTTGAATTTACAATTAAGCACAAACTAATCCCAGCAAGCAATTCAAACATGACTATTTTCAGCACATGAATGATTCATTCATTGAATCAAGACTGAAAATATGTTTTTTATCAACAGAGCCTACATTTGTTCTCCCCCTGGTGTGTACAATCAAGATACAATACACACCCGCATGCAGGAAGGAGAAAGGCTGTAAAACTACCATTATTAAAAAAAACATGAGAAGCAGGGTCGGTTTATGAAGGGGTCGCAGCCGGATTAAAATTCCCTGTTTGCTGAATGTCTGCCTGCCAGCTGCATTCTGCTTACTCTGCATCGCACCCGCTCCGGCTTCAGCTGCTAACTGCGCATGCGCCTGGTTTTTAATTTCTTTATTTAAAATAGTTGGAACTTGCTGAGCAGAGTATGCAACTCGCCGAGCAGAAAAACCCAGTGCGATGGCCGCCGAGGGAAGAAAAGCAGCTGCGTCCTTCTCCCGCATGCAGACCATTATGCAAGCCGGATCAAGGGGAATCCCCTCGTTCCTCAGCATCTTGAGACCTGGAGGCCAGAAGTCTCGACGCTGGGTGCACGTGGAACCACCGCTAGATGGCAATAAAGCGGTTCGGAAACTAACCTCTGGCTGTGGGCGAGAGAAAAGTATGCGCGTACACGTGGAGGAAGAAAACAGAGAAAAGTAGGCTGCTTACAGAGACTGGGTGTAAAGGAAGAGACATACGTGTAGCCACGTTCTCACTTCTGGGTTTTTTTTTTTGTTTTGTTTTTTTTGTCCAATGTTTCTCAGCTTGACGGATTGAAGATGCCTGAATAAACTCCCAGAGTTCCCCAGCCGCAGCAGGCTGGTTGGGAGTTTCTGGGAATTGAAGTCCGCATATCTTAACATTGCTACAGTTGAGAAACATTGATCTAAAGGTAAACATCGCAAATCACATTGCTTCAACTGTTTCTACAGGAAGATCAAAATCTACAAGTTGGTGTTTTGTTGACATCCAGGAACTGGCCCTTTTTACATTGATCTTGCAATTTTTGACCCCGTTTTTCAGAGTTGATTTGATCTGTCCCTGGAGCTTTGATCTAATCAGCTGGAATTTCTACAGCTCTACAGATCTTGTAATCCAGGGGCGTGAACTCCTAATTCCATTCCAGGATCTCTATAGGTTATGGTCAAGATGGTGACCACAATGGTGCAATCAAAGCTGCTCCCATTTTTACATGCATTTTTTTAATCCGCGTGTGCAGAGCTTTGATTGCACTATTGTGACTTGACATCTTGATATATTTTTTTGACAGTGTCTTGTAGGCACTCCTACTCTTTGCCCACAATTATTCTTTCTCCACTGCCCTCAAAGATGTGCAACAACCTCTTCATGCAGCTTGCCTCTTTCTGTATGCATTGATTGGAATATACCCAACCTCTATAGCCCATGTGTCACAGCAATAGGAACTAGGATCTCTGCTATTGGAAAAAGCCCCTCATTGCTCACAGAAACTTGCAAATGGCCCTTTATTTTTTAACAGAAGAACCAACTGCTGTTACGTTCACTTGACCCACCAGGACAAGAAAGCAGGGTATGTTCCGGATCCCATCAATTAGGGATGTATGTCTGATGGGACTGCAAAAATGGACCTTCTGGGTGATGGCCCTTTCCTTTTGAAAGATCATTCCACCTGAGGAACAGTTGGCTCCCACTGTGTTTGTTTGCTTGTTTATTTTACTACAGGGTAACTAGGGAACTTACAATATTGAAAAGATAAAGCTATACAAATAAAAATACTATAAATGTATAATACTAAATGTTGCTTTTCCAAAAGGCCCTAAAATGTACTTTGGTCAGCAGTATGAGAGACCATATCTAGAGATATCTGGTTGATTTAATTATGTGGCTGCAATTTTTAACAGGCTTTTATATTGTGATTTTTAATGTTATTTGGAGTCATTTATGTGTGAGCTATTTGGAGTCATTTATATGTGAGTTAGATGGCCATATAAATTAGTTTAATTTACTTAATTAGATTAGATATTGCAATACCTTGAGGTGGGAGTAGGAGATGACCAGGCTGAATCCCAGGGCAGGGTCAGATTTATCATTCTGGAGCCTCTATGCCCCTGAAAGAGACCTACATCCAGCCACTCTTGAATTTTTTTGACTCTTATCTGGCGCCAATTTGCTTTGACTGTTAGTAGATTAGATTCTTGTGTATAGTTGTATGGAATAAACTTGCAGAGCTTTTGAACTCTACCCTGGTTCCTGGTTTCTTGTATCTGACAGTGGATCCATGAATGACATCGGTTGGTCTCTGCACCTCTATACATAGATGACTCATTCTACATTATTTTGTCCACATTGTTCCAGTCTCTGGACATTTAGCGGCTTTCCAGACAAGAGAAACTGAAGCATTTAAAAAGAACTGTTCCTGGGAGGCAGTCTGAGAAGTTATAAGCAGTTATAAGCCTTTTTCAGATTTTCTTTGCATCTGCCATAAAGTCAACACACTAGAGTCACCAGTCTCTGCTTTCCTGACATCGTCACTATAGTACAATCCAAGTGACATTTTGAAGCAGTCTTACTTCACAGGAAACGGAGAACAATTTACAGTGCATTGATTTTGAACAAATGTTTCTTTCTCCACCCCCCCCCCTCTTCTGACATTTTGCTCAGAATGCTGTTTGCTTAAAGGCCGGCCAAGAGAGAACGTGTGTGTTTTCACTGCAATGTGCTGTTACAAGGGCACAAAATGCACGGGTGTGTGTGTGTGTGTGTATGTGTGTTCAGGGAACAGAACCTTAAGAGCACTTGAGGGATGCACCTAACCCTCTTTTCTTTCACATGGGATTGCAAGCTCAGGAGATGCATTCCAGCTCTCCAAAAAGAACATCTCATAATGTAGGCATCTCTGAGCTTACAACCATCATTTAGTGACTGTTCAAAGTTACAGTGGCACTGGGAAAAGTCAGTTATGACTGGTCCTCACATTAACATCCATTGTAGCATCTCCATGTTCACATGATCAAAATTCTGACACTAGGCAACCAGCAGTGCCCCAGAGTCATTTGCATGTTTGTCATCTGCAACCTTCCCAGCCAGCTTCCGACAAGCAAAGTCAGTGGGGGAAACCAGATTCCCTTAACAACCATATGATTCAGTTAATGACTACAATGATTCATTTTGCCTCCAGAAATCTTGGAGTTTTTTAAGAAGAGGATAGACAGTCACTTGTCTGAGATGGTATAGGTCCTCCTGCTTGATCAGGGGGCTGGACTAGAAGACCTCCAAGGTCTCTTCCAGCTCTATTCTATTCTATATCTGGCTGAAGAAGTTGTTAAATACGGTGCAACTCACTTTACAATTCTGGTCCCAACTGTGGTTGTAAATAGTCCTTACCTGTAATGGGCTCCCTGTGTTTCAGTTGCCTTTTTCCCATCCAAATCTGCAAACAGAAAGCAATGCTATTCTGCTTCTTCCCTCAAGGATTTTTTTAGAATCAATTACCTAGTCCTTAATTGCACACAACTACTAGAAGTCCTAGATTACAGAATATCCTAAGGTTACACCAACTAGTCAGTCTTAACATCACAGAAGCTTAATGCATAGGAAGCTTTCTTAC